CATGAACCATGGCCTACATTACGTGCCTTAAAAGTCCCTTCTAATCATACATGGATTTCTAGACAGAAGAGACTATCTTCATATTTCATCCCGCACATCAGGATTAATCTTTATTTGAAAAAAGTTTTCTAAAATCTTTAATGCATGATAAATAGGGGTTCAAGACGTAAATTTTGAATGACATTTTGAAACCAAATGAGGATTCGAGTTGAAAACCTGAAAAGGTGACTCGAATATAAAGATAGTACAGCTGAGGCAATTGCACAAATTCCTGAATAAGACATTGGACAATCCGAGTGTGACCATGAGAACTGGGAGTCAGAGAACACTTTCAGTAGAGGAGCATAGAAGCTACCCCATTAAATTAGTGAACATCAGAAACAAGAAGGCCAAACCATTGACCAAAAATAACAATCTGAGAAATTTTACCATTTCATTACCTAACCATTTCCCAAAGATAGCTTTGATCTTGACACTTGTCAAATAGTTATAATTTATTGAAGGATTATCAGTGTAATTAATTCTTTGACATCCAATGAACTCCTATTTTATGATTTGCTAATTGTAAAACATAGAAAGGGGTAATATTTTCAAATCTTTGATTAAACATTTTTTCAAAAATCTTCTAATTGATATTTTCAGATCTTGAAATAAAAGAAGAAGAAAATCACTTTTCAAACAAGACAATCTCTCTAGAGTGTATCTTGTTATTTGACATGTGGCTCTCAGAGACAAAGCTCGTACTTAGAATCATCGTTGAAGCAAGAAATAAGGAACAATGGGGCATCTTTAAAGATTCTACAGCAAATGTTAGGGCATATTTGGAGATTCAACATTGAATATTGAGGCATCTTTAGAGATTCAACATCTTGATGCGAATAATCAGATCTTCTGAAGGCATTTCCTCCACATACAGGATCGACAGACAAACCATGAGATTCCATCCAGGAGATAAAACTAATTCATGTTACATATATCTTAGACATACTTAAGAGCATCACATTTATCATTTTTGCTTATATGATTTTTGCAGCTTTAGAAGTCAAGTTTCGAATTCATAATGAAAGATATTCGATTCAAAAGCACATTTGAAGACCGATGGTGGTTGCTTAACTCAATAGTGAGAAGCTACACCTCAACCAACTTGACATATTGAAAGATCGACAGATCTTAAAATCAACTTCAAAACAAATGATATTTAATTCAAATCTCAACTTCACAACGAATGAGCCATCCACGATTTCAACTTCACAACGAAGGATCTTGTGCCCACAAGCAGTAATACAACCCTTGGATTTCAACTTCACGATGAAGGATATCCAATTCAAAGCTCAACTTCACAGTGAATGAGCTTTCTAGTTCCATTCAGAGTCAATTTCAACTTCACATCGAAGGATATTGAACTCAAAACAACGCAACATACACAAAATTGGATTTCAACTTCACAACGAAGGACATCCAATTCAAAGCTCAACTTCACAATGAAAGAGCTATCCACAATTTCAACTTCACAACGAAGGATATCGTGCCCAAAAGATTGACCCAACTTCATGACGAATGAGTTATTTGTGACACGGCAATGAAAAATAGTTTCATTCAGAGTCAATTTCAACATCACAACGAAGGATATTGAACTCGAAAGAGATGCAATTTACAAGTGTGGATTTTAACTTCATAACGAAGGATATACAACTCAAAGCTCAACCTCATCACGAAGGAGTCGCGTCATCCTTAGATAACCAGATGTCTTCATCATGAAGGAACTGTGTTATCTCAAATATTTTTAAAGATGGCCAGATGTCCTCATCACAAAGGAAAATGTCATCCACTGATCAGAACTCCTCATCACTAAGGAGCATCATCATCCTTAGATAGCCAGATGACCTCATCACGAAGGAACCATGCCATCTCAAATATCTTAAAGATGGCTAGACGTCCTCATCACGAAGGAACAATGTCATCCACTGACCAAAACTCCTCATCACGTAGGAGCCGAGTCATCCTCAGATAACCAGACGTCCTTATCACGAAGGAACCATGTTATCTCAAATATCTTCAAAGATGGCCAGGCTTTCTCATCACAAAGGAACAATGTTATACACCAGTTGGATCTCTCCCATGAAGAATGGAACATATTTCCAATCAAAACATGAATTCAACTAGACGAAAATTCATTTTCTTTTTATTTTTTTCTCTATTATTGTTAACACAAAAATAAGCAAAGAGGGGCATCTGTTGACAGTTATTTTCGTCCCGTATTATTATTATTATTAAATAATTTTATTACAAATCAAGGCCCAAATATAAAGAAAAATATGGAGGCCTAATTGATTTACAAGAACCCGAAGGCTTAGACCTGAGTAGCCTAGACCTGGTCCAGACCTGATCTGGTCCATATAACCCAACCCAGCAAGCCCGAATCCACCTAGGGTTTCTAAACCCTATCTCTAGCCATCAGTAATCTCAGCCGTTAGATCTGGAGAGATCCAACGGTCCATAGAAGATCCAATAGAAACCCTAGGGTTCACCAACCCTAGGGTCTATTCCGGCACAGTCTTCAACTGCTCCGCCTCCATGTTCCTCATCCAGCTGCTGTCACATCGCCAGAAGATTCCAGAGGCACTAGGAGAACTGCACACATCACAATCCTTTGGTGACTCACCAAAGGGCAACCTCATAATCGGTTCAAATAGAGCAGTTTTGAAGGCCTATAAAAGCCTTTGATTTATCTGCAAATAAAAAAGGAAACAAGACAAGAAATACGGTAAGTAACCACCAACGACCAACAATAAACAAAAATACGAAACAAAAATGAAGACAACTAAAAGAAAGAGAGAGGAGATCGAGAACTTACTAAGTCGACGGAACCTCTACGCGTCCTTGAAAAACAAAAATACCGAAGGTATAAATCTATATCTAGGTAATTTTAGGGCTTTTTAGGGGAAACGGAGACCGAAATCGACCTTGGGGTGTTTGGATCTCTCATTTGGGGTGTTTTAATTTTTTTGGCCACCATGGGCAATGGCCGACGGTGGTGATAGGTGTCTGAAAGCGGTGGCCAACGGTGGCTGGATTCCCTCCGGCGAGGGAATCCTAGAGAGAGGTGAGAGAGATTTTCAGTTTCTCACTCCAAGAGAGAGAAACCTAAATGAGAAATGAGAAATGAGAGAAAGCTTGGCCCTTAGGGCCAAATTTTGGGTTTAAATACCCCTTTCCGAACGGCGTCGTTTTGGGGAGAGGTCTGTGTTTAAATTTGGACATGGTATAATTATTTCCGTCATCCATACATGTTATAAAATTTTCAATTTGGTCACCTAAATCAAGTTTTTACATTATTTAATTTTGTATTCAAATTTTATTTTATATTATTTTAGTCACTAAAATCATATTTTTCGCATTTTTATTTTTATTTTAATTTTAGATTTTATTTTGTTATGTTTTAGTCATTTAATTTAACGTAATTTAAATTTTCAAGCTAACTAATCTAATTCAAATTTTGAGTCCTCTATTTTGGATTTTTAGTATCATTATTGTCGGTAACGGGTCCACATTAAATTTATTATAGGCACGTTTGCTGGTCTATTAAGGACCATAATTTTTTTCTACCTAATATAAAATAATATAATAAAATAGACTTGAACAAGTTGTCTTTTTCATTCATTAATGGCACCAATCATCGTTTCTTTCTTTTAAATGGTTGAAATATGAGCATTTGTTACTATTATAAGTTTGACAATATTTTTGATAATTTATATTTTAATGTGAATTATTATCTATGGTTAAATTACACTAATAATATCTAGATTTTATTATATTTCGAATTAGGGTCATTAATTTATATTTTTGTAAATTAATCTTATAGTTTTAATTTTCTTTATTTTATCATTTTTAAATTGAAATTTTTATTATTACCCTTTTATGTTTAAATATTTTAAATTAAATCTTTTAGTTATTATTTATTATTTTTTAGTCATAAAAATATATATTTTATTAAAGGATAATATTTATTTATTTTTAAATATTAAGAAAGGGTTGTCTTAAAGTAACTAGATATCCTATTCTGATATTTTAAAATAAATAAATACCTTACTTATAAAAAACCTAAAAAGTAAAATATGTATATTTTGGTTACTTTTAATATTAAATTCTTAGAACTTCCTTTAAATAAAATTATGTGATTGAATATGGAATAATATGATAGTAAATTAAATATATATTCGAATTCTTAGACTTATACTAATAAAGATAATATATAATCGACGGGTACCAATTTTGGGCATTGTAGGGGTGCTAATCATTCCCCAAACGTAGCCGACCACGAATCCCTTTTTATTACTAAAAAGAATGAATTTCTGGTTATACATAGACTGATATTATCTTTTAAATAGTGTTTTCTTAAAAAACTCTTTTAAAAGATGATTTTTAGGTATTCGACCTACCTAACCCAAAAGGTTCGATGGCGACTCCAAAGCATTTCATAAAAAAACCATATATTCACCATATTTTTCCAGCCAAGGAAAATTTGTGCTCGGGAGAAAACCGGTTACTACACAAAGTACTATCCAAATTGTGATATACTTGGTACTTCTGTTGGTAACAATAGCTTCTATGTGTGGAAAGGTATTCATAAAACCATTCAGGCTTTTTTAGGTGCATTGTATTAGACAGTTGGACGGGATAGCTACGTCCATATGACAAAGGATAAATTGGGAGGATCGAAGTTAGTTTCCCTTACCGGAGATTACTCATTTATCCCCGCGCAGCAGTTACATGCATGGCCTTTCATGCACAATGGAACGTCTCGCTGGAACTAGTCAAATGTGCGCCACACTTTTAACGCCATTAACTCTAACTTAATTTTGTCGACACCCATTGCTCCAATCCAAAGGGATGTGATCATATTGGGTAATCATGATTCTGGTAAATACTCTATCCGTTTAGGTTACTAGTGGCTTCAATGTCCTAATCATTCTCCGATGTGTACTTCCAAAATTTGGCAAATGGTTGCTAAGTTACAGATCCTGCCTAAGATTAAGATCTTTTCTTGGAGAGTGGCACATGGTGGGTTACCAGTTGGTAAGCGGTCACGTGACACTGGCTTGAGTGATGGTCTTTGTTCAATGTGCGGCTTGGAAGAAGAGACAGTAGTTCATATTTTACGGGATTGCTCTTATGCCCAAGAAACTTTTATTTGTGCAAGTATGCAGGGTACATTCTTGTCTAGTCAGCTTGTTTCTTCATTGGACTGGTTAGATTTACTGATTACTAATTTGGATCTAGCTGGCCTTGCTTGATTTCTTGTATTACTTTGGAACCTTTGGAATGGGAGGAATTCCAAAGTGCATGATAACAAACTTCAACCCCCATGGATATTGTCCATCAACGCTACCTCCCTTCATCACGACTACCTATTAGCTAGGGAACATGTGCCAAGGAGAGCAAGAGCTGTGCGATCTTCTCCAGGAGCAGCTTCATGTATTGACCAGGCAAAGTGGCAACCTCCCCTCCAAGGTATGTGAAGATCAATTTGGATGGTGCTTTTAAGTCTACTGGGTGTATAGTGGTTGTGGGGGTTATTACCAAAAATGTCATTGGCCAGGTACTTGGTGGCATGACTGCGTCGTCACCAGGTTGTGTCGAAGCTGGGCTTTCAGGGATTCATGCTCTGAATGCAGCTCTCTCTTTGGAAGTTGAGTATCGGTGGATGCATGTAATCTTTGAATCGGATTCAACGCTTGTAGTCAACAAGATGTCTGGATCGGAGGAGGATTTGTCCACTTTGGGTTATCATCTTTGGGAAGCTTGTAGGATTTTGGATGCTAATTTAAATTACAAAGTGTGTTTTGTTCCTAGAACTTGTAATATTGTGGCACATTCTTTGGCTAAGTTGGCTCTCCGTTCTGGAAATGCCTTGTATTTTGACTCGGTTTGTCCCGAGATTATTACGTCTGTTGTATCCAATGATTTTTCTGGCAATTCAATGTCCTAGTACACTCTTTTCCCCTTATAGGTCTTAGGAGTTTTTAATGAGGCTCGTTTTCTTTAAATATATATATATATATATATATATATATATATATATATATATATATATATTTTTGATAATATAGTTGAGTTAGTTATGCACGTATTGCACGGTTATTTTTGCGTGTCACCTTATAATATAATTTGGGGGTAAACTACTACAATGGTCACTTTTATTTTATTTATTTTAGTCATCGATTTTAAAAAAGTAATATTTTGATCATTTAAGTTATTGTTTTATAACATTTTGGTCATTTACATTATGAATTTATAATGTTTTAGTCACCAGAACATTAAATGTAGTTAGTTTGATGTGTGACATATTAATAAAATGATTAGTTTCTAATTTTAACTCTAGACTTTAAATAAAATATCATTTTGACCTTTAAACTTTAAATAAAATATTAATTACAACTCTGAATACAGCCAATATCCATTGTTATTAGTCAATATTCACCATCATCGTTGGTCACTGCAGGCTACCATCAATCAACATCGTCGACAATTTTTAGGCTTAAAAAATTCAGTTCACTTTTTTTTTTTATTTCTTAAACTCGTATATGATGTTACTTTCATTAAAAATCTTGAATTCTACAAATCTAACCTAAAAACTTAACTTCTTTTGTAATTAAACCATAATAATAATTTTATTAGTAATATTTTTAAAAATAAAAACACTATAAATCTAAATTATGCTATAAAAAAATAAGAACTTAAAATTTTCTCATTGTTTTATTCATAAATGCTTTGTTGTTAGGAGATACTATTTTAAATCACATCTTTCTATCCCCACCAATTTTTTTAATTACTTGGTCGACTAGATAATAAAGAAATAAATAAAATACCTGTCTCCTTTGTGCTTTTATATCTCCTAATTATATTCTATTATATATTCTAAATGTTTGTGTTTTGTTTAACTTATGTTCTTGAACAAATCGTATTTATTTTTAAAAGAAGGTTATTAATAAATTTATTATCATTGTATAATTTTAAAAGAATTAAATAATTTCAGGTTAGATTTATGAAGTTCATGGTCTCTTTCGATTAAACGGACATTGAATTTGGGTTTAAGAGAACGAAAAGGAGTGTATTAGAGGTCTAACAACGATGGCCAACTTTGATCTATGGTGATGGTGAGCGACATGCGGTTACAAGAGACTTTGATCGGATTCAAGGATTAAATATTTCATTTAAATTTAAAAGGTTAAATTGGTAATTTATCTAAAGTTTAGAGATTAAATTAATATTTTTCTAAAATTTAGGATTTAAACAAAAATTAACATCTTTTACTACGTACCATGTCATCAAATTAAGTAAAGTCCAAGTGACCAAGATATTATAGATCCTTAATATCAGTAATTAAGGCGTTATAAATCAAAAACATTAATCATCATAAAATTATTTTCTTAAAATTGGTGACTAAAAGTGTACAAAAAATTGAAATAGAAGTGATCATTCTAGTAGTTTACCCTTTAATTGGCTGTCTAGATCAGTAATTCCAATGAAAAACCAAAGTATACGAATAAAGAAAGAACAGGTTTGTTGTTTGCTCTTAAAGATTTAAGCTAACGGAATTCAAACTATCAAATCCCTCCGATCAGGGAAGAAGAACAAAACCGTTGCTCTTCCACTCCACTTCCCGACTATAATCAAGGGGGCGCAATGGCGCTTTTCGAGGAAGAGCGCTCGACGGAGAAGCCATCTTCTTCTTCACCCTCATCCTTGTCGCCCACTGCTTCTTCGCAAAGCGTTAACTACCTTGCCAAGTCTGTACCTAGAGGAAGTGTTATCGTGCAGGTCGCTTACGGTCACCTCCGCTCTCCTTCTTCATTGGACGTCGTTTTCGCAAGGCCCTTCCTCTTTTTCCTTTTTTTTCTTTCATTAATCTAACTTTTTAATCATGGAATTCGATCAGTTTACTTATAATCAACTGTCATTTAGATTTTAGGCTGTGCTTTCCTCTCTTTTCCAGGGTTTAGGGTTTAAATTTTATACTAAGCGATCTCCTGTTTCCTTTAATCTTAATTCTTAAGTGATAAATTCTAACAGGAAACGAGTTCAAATATTCCTGGTCATTTCTTTTCATTGTTGTTTGTTTGTTTAGTTCTATATGTGAACTAGAAATTACTCATTCAAATTGATATTTACACGGTTTATCCTAGCCCTTTTGCTGCTATTAACTTTTTCCTATAGCATTTCATAACTTTGACTTCTAGTTTTTAAAGCGAATTACTTCCCATCCTCCTTTTTTTATGCCAAAATTGGAGATAGGCTTCGTATGCATGGACTGTTGGTTTTTTGGCAAAGTCCCACATTGGTTGTATATAAGGAGGAGGGGAAATTCTTTTGTTATAAATAAAGTCATCCTCCTCCTCCTTAGTTAAACATCCCACAAATATAAGCATTCTTCACTATTAAAGGCTATTTGTACTCTCTCTCTTTATAATATTTCCTCTACTAGTGAAATATTATTTTAGTAGTGTTCGAGGAGGTAGACATAATTTTGGCCTAACCTCGTTAAATTTTGGTGTTCTCTTTATGTCTATTTAATAGCTATTGTCGGGTATAGTCGTTGTTAATTATTGTCCTATTAAAATTACTTGTCTTGGTAGTTCTGTATAAGGAAAGTGGGTTTTAAGAGGGACCATTGTGACCCCTCCTCTTTCCTGGGAATCTACCTTGGTGTGATTTTTAGTACAATCATTTTCACACTAGTCACCTAGATAATAGTTTTCAAGGTGAATTTGTTATTATTGGTAGAAATTAACCCGAATTCCACAACAATTGGTATCAGCGCTCTTGGTTTATTTTAGTATGCTCTGTGGTTGCGGCTTAGGCTGATCTTCCACATCAGAAAAAATTTCTTGGGATAATTGGCATTCCGCATTGACAGCTATTAAATAGAATTTGTAGTAGAAATGACAGACGCAACAAAAACATCCACATCGTCGTCAACAGCTGTGACAAATGTTAGATTTGCAGTGGAGATTTTTTATGGCACCGGTCATTTCGGCATGTGGCAAAGTGAGGTTCTAGATGCCCTATTTCAGCAGGGTCTATACATTGCTATTGAAGGAGAGAAACCAGATGATGTTGAGGAGAAAGAATGGAAGATGATCAATAGATTGGCATATGGTACTATTCGATCGTGTCTTTCTAGAGAGCAGAAGTATGTATTTTCTAAGAAAACTTCTGCAAGTAAATTGTGGAAGGCACTGGAGGAGAAATTTTTGAAGAAAAGCGGTCAGAACAAGCTCTACATGAAAAAGAGATTGTTCCGCTTCAACTATGTACCAGGTACCACTATGAATGATCACATTACTAGCTTTAATCAGCTGGTGACTGATCTGATGAATATGGACGTGACTTTTGAAGACGAAGATCTGGCTCTGATGTTGATGGGATCACTTCCTGATGAGTTTGAGTATCTTGAAACTACTCTACTTCATGGGAAAGTTGATGTGTCTCTCAGTGAAGTAATTGCTGCCTTGTATAGTTATGAATTGAGAAAGAAAGACAAACAAGAAAACACAAGTGTCGAAGCAGAAGATCTTGTTGTTAGAGGTTGTTCGAAGAGCCAGAATAAAGGAAGGAGAGGGAGATCAAAGTCAAAGTCCATATTGAGCAAAGATGAATGTGCCTTTTGTCGAGAAAAAGGGCACTGGAAGAAAGAATGTCCCAGGCTAAAGAACAAAGGCAAACCTGAAAGGGGAAAGGCTGTCTCAGAATCAAATGTCGTCGAGTATGATGATGTAGATTCAGATTTCGCATTCACTGCTACGCCATCAACCAGCTGTTCCAATTCATGACTGTTAGATTCAGCTTGTAGCCACCATATGACCCCCAATAGAGAATGGTTATTTGATTTTAAAGAACTAAAAGGTGGAATTGTCTACACAGCAAATAATTCCTCTCTTGACACACTTGGGATTGGTTCAATTCGCTTGAGGAATCAGGATGAATCAATCAGAACCTTAACAGGTGTCCATTATGTACCAGATTTAATGATAAATCTAATCTCTGTGGGAACCTTAGAGTCAAAAGGTTTAGAAGTGAGGGCAAAAGATGGGATTATGAGAATTATCTCTGGTGCACTAGTGATAATGAAGGGAATCCGGAAAAGAAACAATGTGTATTACTTTCTGGGTAGTACAATTGTTGGGACAACAACAGTGGCAGCTTCTACTGATGAACAGGAGTCAGAAGCAACCAGGTTATGGCATATGCGTTTGGGGCATGTTGGTGCAAAATCCTTGAAATTGTTGATAGATCAAGGATTATTGAAGGGTGCTCGGGCTTGCAAATTAGCTTTTTGTGAGCATTGCATCAAAGGGAAGAAGACGAGGGTGAAATTTGGAACAACAATCCATGATACTAAAGGTATTTTGGATTATGTTCATTCAGATGTATGGGGGCCTTCCAAGATAACTTCATTGGGAGGAACACACTATTATGTCACCTTTGTTGATGATTTTTCCCGGAGATTTTGGGTGTATACAATGAAGACAAAGGATGAGGTGCTAGGATTTTTCCTTAAATGGAAAAAGATGGTGGAGACTCAAACAGGCAAAAAAATCAAACGTCTCCGTACAGACAATGGTGGAGAGTACAAAAATGATCCATTTCTGAAAGTCTGTGAAGAAGAAGGTATTGTCAGGCACTTCACTATCAGAAGTACACCACAACAGAATGGGGTGGCAGAGCGTATGAATCGAACATTAGTGGAGAAGGTTCGGTGTATGTTGTCTAATGTTGGGTTAGGCAAAGAATTTTGGGCTGAGGCTTTGGTCTATGCTTGTCACTTTGTCAACTGCTTACCATCGACTGCTATTGGTGGTAAAACACCATTAGAGAAATGGTTTGGAGTACCTGCTACAGATTATGATGCCTTACATGTGTTTGGTTCCATTGCATACTACCATATTAAGGAGTCAAAGCTGGATCCAAGAACAAAGAAGGCGATCTTTATGGGGATCACCTCTGCTGTGAAAGGCTATCGTCTTTGGTGTCCAGAAACAAAGAAAATAATTTTTAGCAGGGATGTTACCTTTGATGAATCTACCATGTTGAGAAAGGTGACTTCATAAAAATTGGAACAGACAGATGGAACTCCCAAACAGGTGGAGTTTGAAGGAAGCAGAATTGACCCAGCCAGTAAAGAAACTGATGTTAACTCTCCTATGGTAGAAGAAGAGTCAGATGAAGAAGAGGTTCAGACCCAAGAACCTCCACAACAACATGAATCAATTGCACTCAGAAAGGGAAAGAGGACCATTAGACAACCTGTTTGTTATGCTGATATGGTCTCTTTTGCATCACTAATTGCAATTGATGACGTTCCTTCCACTTTTAATGAAGCAGTCCAAAGTTCAGAACATAAAAAGTGGAGGATCGCCATGAATGAAGAAATGCAATCCCTTCAAAAGAATCAGACGTGGAAACTAGCCAGTCTTTCGAAGGGAAAGAAGGCAATTGGGTGCAAGTGGGTATATGCAAAGAAAGATGGATTTCCTGACAAGAATAACATCCGCTACAAAGCAAGATTGGTGGCTAAAGGCTACGCTCAAACAGAGGGAGTTGATTATAATGAAGTATTTTCTCCAGTTGTAAAACATTCCTCCATTAGAATTTTGTTGGCTTTAGTAGCACAGTTGGATTTGGAACTAGTTCAGATGGATGTAAAAACTGCATTTTTACATGGAGACTTGGATGAGGAAATCTACATGACACAGCCAGATGGATTCAAAGTTGCTGAAAAAGAAGATATGGTGTGCAAATTAGAAAAATCGCTATACGGATTGAAGCAATCTCCAAAGAAGTGATACAAGCGATTTGACAAGTTTATGATAGGGCAGAAGTACACAAGAAGCAAATATGATCATTGTGTGTATTTACGCAAGCTACAAGACGGATCCTATATATATATTCTTCTTTATGTTGATGATATGCTGATAGCTTCCAGGAGTCAGACAGAAATTGCGAAACTAAAGACTCAATTGAATAGGGAGTTTGAGATGAAGGATCTTGGTGATGCAAAGAAGATTCTAGGCATGGAGATATCAAGGGATAAGAAATTGGGGAGGCTTTGTTTGTCTCAGAAAGAATATATGAGGAAGGTACTAAAGCGTTTTGGCATGAATGAGAAATCAAAACCAGTTAGTACACCTCTTGCTCCTCATTTCAAGCTCGGTGCATCCATGTCACCTATGGATGATGCAGAACGGGAATACATATCAAAGGTTCCATATGCAAGTGCTGTTGGTAGCTTGATGTATGCAATGGTGTGTACGAGACCCGATATTTCATAGGTAGTTGGGGTTGTGAGCAGATATATGCATGATCCTGGAAAGGAGCATTGGCAAGCTGTGAAATGGATTCTGCGGTATATTCTGAACAGCGTAGATGTTGTTTGGTCTTTCAACAGGACAAACAAGATGGTCAGTGTGTAGTTGGGTATTGTAATTCAGACTATGCAGGTGATTTGGACAAGCGTCAATCAACTACTGGTTATGTGTTTACTTTTGTAAAGGTACAGTCAGTTGGAAGTCCGCCTTACAGTCAACAGTGGCTTTGTCTACTACAGAGGTAGAGTATATGGAAGTTACAGAGGCTGTGAAGGAGGCAATTTGGCTTCAAGGGTTGCTTGGTGAATTGGGAATGGAACAGAAGCACATCAAAGTGCATTGTGACAGTCAGAGTGTTATTCATTTAGCAAAGAACCAGGTTTACCATGCAAGGACGAAGCACATCGATGTTCGATATCACTTTGTACGAGAGATTCTAGAAGAAGGTGGAGTCATAATCCAGAAGATTCGGACCACTGAGAATCCTGCTGATATGTTTACAAAAGTGGTAACTGTGGTCAAGTTTAAACATTGTTTAGACTTGGTCAATATTGTTACAAATTGAAAGATGAATTTGTAGAACCTCTGAAGATTGAATTTTTTGAGAGATGTGTGTGGAATTTGCCAAGGTGGAGATTTGTTGGTTTTTTGGCAAAGTCCCACATTGGTTGTGTATAAAGAGGAGGGGAAATTCTTTTGTTATAAATAGAGTCATCCTCCTCCTTAGTTAAGCATCCCACAAATATAAGTCTTCTTCACTATTAAAGGCTATTTGTACTCTTTCTCTCTTTATAATATTTCCTCTACTAGTGAAATATTATTTTAGTAGTGTTCGAGGAGGTAGGCATAATTTTGGCCTAACCTCGTTAAATTTTGGTGTTCTCTTTATGTCCATTTAATAGCTATTGTCGGGTATAGTTGTTGTTAATTATTGTCCTATTAAAATTACTTGTCTTGGTAGTTCTGTCTAAGGAAAGTGGGTTTTAAGAGGGACCATTGTGACCCCTCCTCTTTCCTGGGAATCTACCTTGGTGTGATTTTTAGTACAATCATTTTCACACTAGTCACCTAGATAATAATTTTCAAGGTGAATTTGTTATTATTGGTGGAAATTATCCCGAATTCCACAACATGGACAAGTATCTACAGAGCAAAGGAAACACTTGAAGATGACTTCTTCTAGAGAATTGAATACGAGAGGAAATCAAGAATGTTTCTGGATAAATGGGGAGATGCTTCCCCAATTGAATGATCATGCTCTTACCGAGATAACATGGACTCTCCCTTCAAATGTGCGGACTTTATGATCCCTAATTCCTCAAAATGGGACGAGAGTAAGATCCAGTAGGTGCTCACACATGAAGACGCTAACAAAGTCCTCTCAACCCTTTTCGCCTCCACTCAAGAGGACAAGTTGATTTGGAGCCATCACAATACTGGATGTTACTCAGCTAAGTCGGGATATAATTGGCTTCTTCTGAAGAAGGGCACCCCAGTTGAACAGGGGAAAATCTGGAAAGCTCTCAACAAGCTGCCTAACTTACCAAAAATAAGAATTTTCGGGTGGAGACTGTGCTAAGAGGCGATCCTGACGGGGGGAAAATGAAAAACGCTAGGCTAGCAAAGAAGACTTGCCCTATGTGTGGGAATGAAATTGAAACTTAGTTGCACGCGTTCAAGGATTGCCCCAAGATCTGGTTAGTTCTTATTACCTTTGGGCTTGACACTTCCATCATTGGTTAGCAAGGAAATTCTTGTAAGGAGTGGCTTGAGTGGGTTGCTTCCCGATTGGACCTGGACGGACTTTCTAGACTAATCGTGCTCCTGTGGAATGTGTGGAACCGGAGGAATAAATGGGTGCATGATGAGGAGATTCAAGAGGATAGAGACGTGATGACGATCACTTTGGGATTATGTGCCAAATTTTCGGGAGCTAACCAAGCTGATTGCTTCACTCGCCCCCAGCAGAGGTCTTTCAAGTGCCACAAATGGAGCTGTCCCGATCCAAGCTATGTCAAGATCAATGTAGATGGGGCCTATAAACCATCGGAGAATACTACTGTTATTTCAGTGGTTGGTAGAGATCACAATGCGATGGTTCTTGAGGGGTATGTGTTGATAGATTGAACCACCATTCACAGCAGAATCTTCAAAAGTGATAGCCTACACTTAAGGAATAAAAGATCTAACGCTATTATTTAAGGAGATGCGATATTCGTTGTTAACATGCTTTCAAATCAAAGGGAGGACGTTTCAATCATCGGATTGTTACTTTCTTAACTTGCTAGAGAGAAACTGTGATATTAAAGTCTTTTATGTCAACCACAAGGCGAACCAAGTAGCGTACTCTCTTCCTCAGTTAGGGATGGGCATGAGATCCGAATCCGATGGGTTTCGACTCGACTCGAGTTTTAAAAAAAATACGGATTTGGGTCGGGTTTGGATTTAAGGTGAAAAATATCTAACCTGACCCAAAAAAATAATACATTATGTATTTATGGATAATTAAAATAATACTCCTCTATATATTATTTTTTAATTAAATCCTTATTTTTATTAATTTTTTTTATTATTTCGGGTAGGGTCGGGTCGAGTTCGTATTTTACCTCAAAAAGTTGGGTCGGGTTTGGGTGTATATTTTTTATGTCGGGTCGGGTTGGTCTAAACTCGACCCGTGCCCATCTCTATGCTCAGTGGGCTTTGTCAAGACCCAATCCGTACTGGTTTTATGTCAATCGCGAGACAAACCGAGTAGCGCACACTCTTGCTCAGTTAGGGATGGGCATGGGACCCGAATCAGATGGGTTTCGACTCGGGTCTGATTTTTTTTAAAAAAAAATCGAGTTCAGATCGGGTTTTAAAGGTAAAGTTCAAGTCGGGTCAGGTTGGTTTCGAGTTTAGGGTGAAAAATACGCGGCCCGACCCGAAAAAATAATACCTTATATATTTAGAGATAATTACAATAATACTCTACATATTATTTTTTTCAATTAAATCCCTATTTCTATTGAATAAAAACAATATTTTTATTATTTCGGGTTGAGTTCGGATTTTACCTCAAAAATTCAGGTCGGGTTCGACTGGATTTTGTATATTTTTCGGGTCAGGTCGGGTTGGCCGAAACCCGACCCATGCCCATCCCTATGCTCAGTGGGCTTTGTCAAAACCCAATCCGTACTGGTTTTATTACGACGAACCTGAATATATTAAGCATGTAATTTTCCTAAATGCTATTGGAATTTAATGAATTTTCTCTTTGAAAAGAATAATTTTCCATGCCTCGTTTTGAATCTGTACCCACTTAGCTATTGTATTTGGTTTTATCATCGTATTGTATAACTTGCTTTTGATAATGTATGGTGAATTGGTGATAATTTAATCTTATTAAGTTTGATCATAAATTCCTTCAATTTCTTTTTAAGCAATCATATCATCACTAGGCTGCTTACCTGCAAGCAGACATGCACTTTCAACTATTAACGTAAAAAATTGACCTTTGAAAATTGGGAAAACTGTAGATAATGGAGATAGAATGATGCTGAAAAAGAGAAGCAAAATGAGTTTACTTGTATACAATGGTTTACATAAATGTAATTCTTGGAGACCACTAAGTCAAAGGGGTGTACCAACAACCGTAGCACTAGAGTTGTCTTAGGAAGTCAATATCAAAAAAGAAAAAAAGAGGGTCTTCATTGTTGTGGAATAGTGGCATCATGAGCATATTCAAATTAGGTTGGAATCGGTTTTCAAGAAATGGGATATAATAACAAATAAATGAAGATATTTCTTTTCAATTGAAAACCATTCTCAAACATGTTCTGATAAAAGAATAAAGAGTTATGGGTTAGGTTTTTTTGACGGTTGATCTCTTCCCAGAAGAAAGCTGTCTGGGTTTGTTGGCCTTCGAGGAGGACTCTTTGCTGCATCTCATGAACTTCCTTCTGAAGCTAAAGTGAATTTGTGACATTCAAGTAAAAAGATAGCTAATCTATCTGATTGTTTGATGGTGTTTAATTCATTAGGCGTCCATAGAGTAGGTAACAATTGAAAATTGCATGTTAACATCCATAAATATGAAATATATCTTCTTCTTTTTTCCAATAAAAAAATCACACTCATGTAGGTTTAGATTAAAATAAATAAGGGTTGCGGATTAGGTTTTTTGGATCATTGATCTTATCTCCCTAAAGGGTCATCTAGTTTGCTCTGCTTTGAGTATGACTTTTGTGTCGGGGGAAATTACTTCCGAAACCACATCGAATTTTTGTGTTTCCGATAACCTAACTGATTGTTTGGTGGTGTTTTATTCAGGAGGCGTCCATAGAGTTGGTAGTAATCGGTGAAGATGGTATTGCAACTTCTGTCTCTTCGGTACGATAAAGGATCTTGCCATTCTGCCTTGGAATGAGAAGGTCTATGCTCAAAATAAACGGGTCTATACCAAAACTTAAAATGGAAACATTGTAGGATACATTCTCTTGATTTCCATTTGGAGAAAAAAATTTCTAGAGTGGAGAAAAGTTAATATGATTTGAAGCAGGTTCTGTAATAAAATCGAAGGAAGTGGGTTTGGGAAAGAGAACTACTGATTCTCGATTATACTCTAATTTATTTAAAATTAATTTGCTTCCACCTTGTTTCTTTATTTAGATGCGAGGGAAAGACCTGTTAGTCGTTGTTTCTGGTTTTGGAAAGCTATCATTTCTCACATTTGCATTGTGATGCACAGGTCTTGTTTTCCATCCTGCAGTTCGTATAGGGCTGGGTACAAGATGGCCACTGCACCCTCTCTTTTTTTAGAAACTCGGTACATTAATCATAATTTTACTCAATATCCAATTCGTAAATATTATGACAAATCGAGTTCCATAAACTTGGAACAAACATTTTGAATGATAAAAATGATAATATTTATGCTAAATACCATATGGTCATAGTTGATGATAATTTTTTTGTAGCAACACATTGATCAATATGAAAGAGTAGATGGTAGATAGTGCTTTTTACATACCTATTAAAAGCTTTCGAGTTGTCTATCCTTATGAAATACAATGTAAATGAGTTCACAGGAGGAGATAGATCTTAACTCCATTAGTTGAAGATTTCAGCATTTGTGTGTGTGGAATAACAAATATATATCAAATAAGCTTTTATGGCATGTGAATGTGTGCAAAAATAATAGATTTAAATACATTTCGTCATGAACATGAAGTCGAAAACGGTTTGCAACAAAACAAATTGTAGCTAATATACATGTCGTCAGCGATTACTAAATATAAATATGTCCTTGCTTGCATGCGTTATTTCCCCTTCGAATGAAGTATTACGTATTTGGATACATTATGTCGTCGAGCCAATATTAAAATATTATGTTGTCGAGCCAGAGTTTAAAGCAACAACGATGCCGGTAGATATCATTAAATATGATTTTATCATATCACAATCAGTAAGTTAACGTCTAGCTCAAATGATCGTCAATTTTTAATGAAAAATGATGAGTTTGGAATGTATAAAGAGTCAGATGATCATTTTGCAACTTTTAATTACCGGGAACTCAATAAAGCAATGTCTTAAACTAGAGAATATTTGTAACTTTTAATAGCAATAGGACATAACAAAACAATACTCTATAATTGATGAATCATTGTGTGTTTTACTTTACATATTTTATATGATATAAGTTACGTGTTTGTGTGTGAATTATTTATTTCTCCAACAAATTATCGCCATTTTAATCTCATCTAATCAAATAAATAGAAGGATGCCGTCATATTTTTTAAAAATTTCAAGTATCTTATAATTTAAATATTTTTATTGACGTTTTAATTTCATATACTTAAAAAAATAAAATAAATGAGGATTATAATCGGAATGAACATATGATTTATATTAAATAATGAATTTCTAAAATTTAAGAGAGAATAAAATATAAATTCTAGAATGGACTAAAACATATTGTTAATAAAAAAATATAAAAAAACATCTAAAATTTATGATATTTGAAACTTTATGAGGGATCAATTGCTCCGTACTACCCGATTTTTTATTCATCCCTGGTCAGAAATGGGGACGCATGATTTTATTTTAGCGGACGAATTTCTAAAATTTTAAGAAATGACGAATTTATAACATTTCAAAAAATATATATAAAAAATTAAAAAATATATAATAATTTTAAATTTCAAAAAACAGTTATCCCACCGATCTTCTTCGGTCCATCCTGTCCTCGATAATAATTACCTGTGAAGCCTGAAACCTCTCTTTCGTTCATTCAATTCAAAAAGCCTACCACGACGACAACTTTAATTGGACGGCAGTTTTGCTTGGACCACCATTGCCATTGAACACACATGATACATGAGACATCCACTTGCATCGTTACAAAATTAATTAAATATTTTTATCTTTGATATGATTAGTATTTTTAAAAATATTTGTTAAATTTGTTAATATGGTTATACATGTAAAATTTAAATTAATGTGATATATTTATTATACGATCGATAATATCATTTTTATGGATATACTAAACATTATTGTCATATTGGTACATTAGGTATGTTAGGCTTTTTCTATTTCTCGTCTTTAGATGCAGTTTTAATTTATTATATATAATTATTGATTTTTTAGTTCAAATTATTTATAATTATTGATGGAGATTTGGAGTTCCATGATAAAATTAATATGTGAATAAAGTTTATGAAAAAAGTCATGTCACATTGTTAACGATTTAATTATTTAATTCTATCTTATTTAATCCAAAATTAAAATAGGTGTTAAAATAAAATAAAAAATAATGGCAAGAGTGATACGTTGTTTAAAATTCAATGGCTAAAAGGTAACTTACACTTCAATAAAATTAACTGATAGAATGTTTTTATAGAAGCCGCTAGTTTTATTAAAATAGAAAATATCCAAACTATAATGAAAGTTTAGAACCACAACCGTAAGCTAAACACATAATAAATATATTTTCTAAACACGAGAAAATTAGTCACTTAAGATCACAAGGACCATATAAGGAAAAAATTAAAAAAAACTTAACCAAATAAACTTAGATAAACAGTAGATACGAACAGATCTGATCACATCGGTAAATGAACCACAAAAGGGATATAAAACTATTAAAAGGCTATTGACAAATCGTAAATCAAAATTGAGCGACGTGAAAATACTATCCATGAATGTAAATCGCGTACCCAAATCCAATCAGAGGGTCCAAAGCAGAGAGGATCAACATAATAAAAAATAAAGCGACATCTTGATCAAGCACGGTGATATCAAAAACCCTAAGAATGTTCTCTATAAAATTAAAATTAAAACTATCACCTGGTAGAATTTTAAATTGTTTCTTCTAGTTTGAAAATATTGTGGAAAACAGTATATGTCTCTTAATAGAAAAAACATAACTTCATAACTTCAAAATCACTATTGAACATAATTTTGTATCTCTTCAAATATAATAATATAAAAAATTAACAGATGATCCGTGTTACCCTAAATTTTGAGCTAGTAGTTTCAGGCTTACCCGAGAGGCTTATGAACCCGTGGATTTTATATGTGGATTTTATATTTTAAGTCGATGGGCCTAAATTTCAACAAAAAAATGTATTTTTGGTACTGATACTCAAAGGGGTATCGATACTTGACCCTAGGGTATAGATATTACAAGTAGAGTATTGATACTACTCACCTTGGAAGGTTAAAATTGACCTCTTTAAGGCCCGTAAGAGTAAAGGATGATATGTAGTGGTAGACCTTAGTTTGTGAATGACGTAAATGGCCAAAGGGGGACCGAATACACTCGTATGAGTGAGATACAACTAAAGTAACCATAGTAGGCGTAACATGTTCAAGTTTCCTCAGTTGTGCATGTAGCGAGTATCTATGAAGACCATTGCTGAGGATGTACCGACAAACGATATGATGAATTTATCATATTACGAGATAATGGGGTTGTAAATTGCAATATTGTAAGGGAATGGCTGACGTATAGTCGTCCCTCTAATTCAAGGGTAAATTGAAGAAATCGAAGTAACAACGACTAGAGTGTCATTACTCAGACTTGAAACCGAGTCAGGCATCAAGTTAACGAATATACAGGCAGTGAACAACAACCATAGATCGTCATAGAATCACGAAACCATAGAGACTTTCTTAGAGTCATAGAATTACTAAAACACCCTTAAGTAATGAACAACCAAAATAGAGCAGCTTAAAAACTAAAATCAGTAACAAACTAATAGATCCTTGTATAGCGTTCTAGATGAGGAGCGAGCGAGATAGCAGCTAGTAGAGAGTGACTTCATTTTATGCCTATATATGTTAGGGTTTAGTCAGGTTACCTTAGTTACCTTGGTGGGCATTGTCATGTGCGAGGCAACTTAGTGGCTAACTAGGGCGTGAGGCTCGAACACTCACGAAGAGTGTGTTAGCAATGTTAGTGTTTCATGGCCTTGGGGCTCTTAGATATCAATATATAGTTGCATGAGTCTAGTAGACAGATGTCGATCATCTTGTGTGCGTGTCTTGTTTGTTAGAATATTCAGATATATCTAAGCCAGTACAAAAGGCACTTCTGTGGCTAATTTGGGCGCGAGGCCTAACACCAGCTAGGGGTGGGTTAGCCAGGTTGTTAGAATATATGGATATGTCAAATCAAGTGTGCGAGGCACTTCAGTGGCTAACTTGGGCGTGAGGTCTAACACCTAGGAGGAATGGTTAACCGGTTGTTGTTTCTGATGTAGAATTCTGGATCTCATCCTAGGTTAGAGGGTATGAGTCCTGAGATGTTATGTGACCCTCTGACTACACCGTGATATCTACCCTTGTTTGTGTGTTTAATGTATGTTGAGTCACATTTGGATAATGCCTAATAGAGTCAGAGTCTCATTTAGATAATGCAAAACAATCACAGTCAGTCTGGGTAGAGACCCGATAAAGGTGTAATCATGTCAAGGCCCTTAGTAAATGATTAATAGAAGCATGAGGTTCCTACTTCAGCGATAGAACAATAAGAACTTAAGTAGGTTGCATTTAATCTAGATCATACATTTACCTACTGCTTAGTATCATATCTTTAGCATGCCTATGTTTATGAAACTCTTAATGATGCTCTAGATTAGCGATTATACTACTAGGCTTTCTAAACTCAGCGTTCGGTGTCTTTCGTTCACAAGTTGTTAGTTGAGTCGTTCGTGGAGTACTCGCAACAGGACTTACAACTTCTCTTTTAGAGTATTGAACTATAGTTTTAATGGGCATGTGTATTTAGAGAACCTTACTTATGTATTTGTTTTATCAAATCTTAAGTTATATTATTTTGTTTTAAACTATGTGTCACGAAGT